GGGGGCAGGGGGGAGGCAGCGCCGCCCGGCATCACCGCCCCTTCCTCCCTCCTCCTCCTCCTCCCTTCGCTTCCTTCCTCCTCCCCCCTGCCTGCCCCATGGCCCTGGGCAGAGCGGGGCGGGGGACACGTCCTTGGGGTGCCCTTATCACGGCCCTAGGGTGTCCCATGTGTCCTAAGAGTGAGCTACAGGACATGGGGTGCTCCATGCAACCCCCTCAGGGTGTCCCATGCGTCCTAAGAGTGACCTATAGGACATGGGGTGCTCCATAAACCTTCCCTAGGGGGCCCCATATACCCTAAGGGTGCCCTTCGGGTACCCCATATGTTCGGAGGCTGCCCCATAAGTCCTTAGGGTGAGCTATAGGACATGGGGTGTCCCATGCACCCACCCTAGGCTGCCCCATGTGTGCTAAGGGTGCACCCTAGGGTGCCCCATGTCCCCCTCCCTCTGCCAACGACCCCACGCACCCCAGGGTGCCCCATAGGTCCTCAGGCTGCCCTGTGCACCCTGGGGTGCCCCATGGCCCCTCGGGTGCCCCCTACAGCCCCAGATGCTCCCAGCACCCCCAGGTTGCCCCATGTACCACCCCATACACCCCCAGGATGCTCAGGTGCCCCTATACAGCCCCAGGTGCCCTCTGCCCCCCCATATACCTCACGATGCCCCATATACCTGGCCAGCTGCAGCCAAGTGGGGAAACTGAGGCACAGGGGCACCTCTCAACCTGAAGGTTGCCCACTCAGTGCCTCAGTTTCCCTCCCCAGGCGGTTTTTTCCTCCTGCACAAGGCAGCCGTCCCCAAGCTCCTCTCGGGCACGAGGAGATCCAGCTCGCTCCGCCCATGGATTTTTGCTGGAAAAGCCTTTATTTTCTGAGATTCATAAGCCCCCAGAGGCCCCTGCACTGCTGTGGTGTGGCCCCACAGCCGCCGAGGACGGGGACATCCACCAGCATGGAGCAAACCCCCATCACCGCTGCAGCCTGGCAGGGTCCCCCCAAAAACCAGCGGCCGCGCGCACCTCCCCGCAATGCGATGGGGTCGAGCACTGTCCAGGACCCCTTTTTCCTTCGTCCCCATGGGGGATCTGCGACAGGGAGGATTCAGGGGGGCGCTGGCGTTTCGGGGCACCGGGTGAAACCACCCCGAGTTCCTGACACCCGCTTCCACCCCACAGCAGATCACGACGTCTCCTCCACTCCCGACACCAACCGCGGCTGCTGGGTGAAATCCTATGGGAAACGGAGAAGAGAAATAAGCAGAAAGGAAAGGTCCCTGGGGATCATGTCCCTTGACCCCCACAGCGTCGCGGTCTCACCTGCTGCCGGCACGCGTCCAGCATGGCACGGGCACGGTGCAGGCACCAGAGCTCGGCCAGCAGCGAGATGAGGACGTGGAGGACGTCGCTCCAGCGCCCAATGGCCAGGAGCAGGACCAGGAGGCCGCCCATCCGCACCAGCGCCGTCCGGTGAGCCCCCTGCCTGCCACCGCCTGACTGCGGCTCCTCTGCAAGGACAGGGTGTCCCACACGGCTCCATGCACCCCAGGGTGTCCCATGTGCCCCTATGCCACCCCAGTGCCCCCATATAGCCCGAGGGTGACCCATACTGCCCCATATACCCCCAGGATGTACCATATACCACCTATACAGTCTCAGGGTGTCCCACACAGCTCCATACACCTCCAGAGTGTCCCATATACCCTCTATACAGACCCAGGATGTCCCATACAGCTCCAAACACCCCAGGAATGTCCCATAAGCCCCTACACACCCTCAGGATGCCCCATGTACCCCCTGTACAGCCCCAAGTGGCTCCCAGTGCCCCTATACAGCCTCAGGATGTCCCATACAGCTCCGTACATCCCCAGGATGCCCCATATACCTCCCTATACAGCCCCAGGATGGCTCCTATACTCCCATACAGACCCAGGATACCCTAACATGTCCCATATGTCACCTATACAGCCTCAGGATGCCCCCAGTGCCCCCAGCATAGCCCTAGGATGCCCCATACAGCCCCATATACCCCCAGGATGCCCCACATATCTCCTACAGTCCCAAGTGCCCCCCAGTGCCCCAGTATACCCCAAGATGTCCCATACAGCTTGAAACACCGCCAGGGTACCCCATATGCCCCTATACCACCCCAGAATGTCGCCAGTGCCCCCATCCAGCCCCACATACACCCAGGATGCCCCATAGAGCTCCAGAATGCCTCATACATTTACATATTCCCCTTACCCTCTAAAAAAAAGCCCCCATAACTGGGGTCTCGGGCCCCATCTCACCCTGCATGTAGATGACCAGCAGTGTGTAGCAGATGGTGAGCGGCGTCCAGAAGCGAACGGCCTCGGCGGCGGAGAGGAAGTCGCGGTTGATGAGCGCCACGGCCGCCAGGTCCCCCTGGCCAGCGCGGTGCGGAGCAGCCGGGGGATGCCGTGGCCCGAAGCCAGCAGCAGGATGCAGACGCCGCAGTAGCGTGCGCGGCTGTGCAGCTCGTAGAGGGTGCAGACGTGCCGGGCCAGGCGCTGGGCCTGGGCGGCCAGCAGCCCCGCTAGCCCCGCGGCCAGCGCCAGGTTGCAGGTGCTGTGGGGGGCCCCCTCCAGCAGGAAACTGAGGGCGCAGGACACCCCGCAGCCCAGCGAGTACTGGCACTGCAGGAAGAGGGGGCTGCTGCGGGCACCCTGCGGGAGAGGGACAGCACGTCAGCCGCTGCGGGGCTGCGGAGCGGCAAGGGGATGGATGGCATCCCCCACACTGCAACACCCCACCACCCCCACGGGCGTTACAAAACTGCAAGGGGATGCGTGGCTGTGAAGCCATGCACGGGTTCCTCCGTGCTGCATCACCTCATATAACCTCCCAGGTGTTGCAGGCAGCAAGGGGATGCAGAGCTGCAAAACCATTCATGGTTTTCTCCATACAACCGTCCCCATCCTCCCCATGCACGTTGCAAAGCTGCGAGGGGATGCACGGCCGCAAAGCGATGCATGGCATCCCCCATGCTCCAAACCCCATGACCCCAAGCACCACCACAGCTGCAGAAACATGCACGCATGCAGAGAGATGTGTGGTTTTCTCCATGCCAGCCACCCTCATCCACCCTGCAGAGGCTGCAAAGCAGCAAGGAGATGCACAATGTCCCCCATGCCACCGCCCTCGTCCTCTCCATGGGTTTCGCAAAGCAGCAAGGGGGTGCACGGCTGCAGAGCGATGCATGGCCTCCTACACCCCTCAGGGTTGCTGCAAATCTGCAGGAGGATACATGGCTGCAAACAGATCCCACTGCAAAGCTGCAAGGGTGGCAAAGCAACCCCCATGCAGAGCTGTGAGGGGCTGCACAGATGCGAATCTGCAAAAGGATGCACGGTCTCAAAGCAATCCCTCTGCACAGCT